ACACACACACACAACATACAGTCTCACTTAATCCGTGTCATTGAAATCAATGTTTTATACCTCATACAGACAAAACAATAATGAACAATAAAATATAAGCTTTCAGGTCATGTGGTGTCACATGGGTTTTATTTTGAATTCATTTCATTATTTGAAAGACCAGATGTTTTACTCAACCTTGACCTCAACATATTTAAGTCCAGCTATGAAACTATCAACCAAAGAATGTCTTACAGGTAGTTACAAATAATTACAAGTACATTTGGGTCTATTTAGCAACAATATTAAAAAACAAAATAAATAAATAATTAAACCATCCAAATGCAAAACTTTTTTTTTTCCATAAATTGAATAATATAGCATTTTGGGGAAAATATAATGCATGTTTCTATAAGAATAAAATGATGTAATTAAATATTTTGTAAAAATCATGTAATTAAAAATAAAAAATATATAATAATAATAATTATTATTATTATTAAAAAATAAGAAAAAGATGATTTTTAGAATAAAATCATATAATTAAAATATGAAATTAAAAATTAAACAACAACGTAATAATATGACTGACAAATTTATTAAAGTTAATAATCAATACAATTGAATAAAAGTCCTAATATCATGCATTTTGGGAATTTATAAGGCATATATTTTAAAAAATAACTTAAAAATAATACAAATGTGATTTTTTTAAATATAAAATGATACAATTAAAATAAGAGTATAAAATTTTAAATACAAAAATTAAAAAATATATGACTGACTGTTTTAAGAAATTGAATCATCTGAATTAAATTATGATTAAATATTAATTAAAATCCTAATATCATGACAACATAGCATATTGGGAAGTTAAAGCATGGTTCTATTAGAATAAAATCATGTAATTAATATGAAAATCTTGACCATTTTAGTCAATTTAATAATCAATGTGATTTGAATAAAAGTCCTAATATCATAATTAGTGGTTAATAATAATTAATAACCTTGGTTACCTAGTTACCTGTGTGTGTGTGTGTGTGTGTGTGT